CACGTCCCACCACCCTGCCCCACTCCCCGACCCTCCTGGCCCTGGGGAGAAGGATGCTGTCCCGGGGTTTATTGGGAGCATCACCCCCTTCTCCTCCCCTACACCTGGTCCCGTTGGGCTGCCGGCTCCCTCTTTGCTGCTGGAAACACTTCCCAGGTTGGGAATTCACCTCCTCCTGGGTCTGCCTTTGGAGTGCCACCTCTGAGGAGGTTTGCACCAGGAGAGAAGGCGAAAGGAGGGGTGGTGTGCGTGTAATTTCTGTCTTTTTACTGGCTTTCCTTCACCCTGAACTTTATTAAAGTTTGCCTGAGAGTGAAGGCAACACAGAAGCAGCTGCGGTGAACGAAAAGAGCTCTCTGACATCAGATTTTGGGCCGGAAAAACCGGGCAGAACCTGCATTTGGGGCTGCCCGGCTCTGCTCCCTCCCGGGCCCGGGGTGTCGGGGGCAGGAGGGATTTGGGGCTGAGCCGCTGGAAGAAGGACCGGGAACCTGATGGTGATGCCAAGCCCTGCCGCAGCCCTTCGTCTGCCTAAAATCTGCTTCGCTAGCAGTCATCCCCTGGGCACCTTTAGAGAGAATTTGGAAAGCATCCTTCCTCCCGGAGGCTTTTCAGCAAAGGAGAAGGGGAGAGAGAGAAAGGGCTTTTTAACTTCTCTCCCAGGTGGGGAGGCAGAATAAAACGACTCTCGAGTAGATCTTGCAAAAGACGGAGTGGAAAATCAGCCGTCGCCGTGCTGGCCCTTCTCATCCGTGATTTTGGGACCCTCCAGCCTCCTCGCATCCCCCGTCCCTCCCTCCAGCCCCCTCCCGGGGACGGCCCGAGCCCCGCCGCTCACGGCGGAGGGGGGGTGATGCTCCGGGGGGACCGGGATAATCCCTCCCGGGGCTCGGCTCCGGGCTGCTCGTTTTCCCCGAAATAATGACCCGAGCGGAGCGGAGCCGGTGGCAGAGGGGCTGCGGTACAATTAAAGCAGGTAACGAGACGCTGGGCAGATGTGTGATTTTGGGACCCTCCAACCTCCTCGCACCCCCCCGTCCCTCCCTCCAGCCCCCTCCCGGGGACGGCCCGAGCCCCGCCGCTCACGGCGGAGGGGGGGTGATGCTCCGGGGGGACCGGGATAATCCCTCCCGGGGCTCGGCTCCGGGCTGCTCGTTTTCCCCGAAATAATGACCCGAGCGGAGCGGAGCCGGTGGCAGAGGGGCTGCGGTACAATTAAAGCAGGTAACGAGACGCTGGGCAGATGTGTTTTCATTGCGCTGTAAGATAAACGCCGTGTTAAATGCCTGACAACTTCCCAGAAGCAATCAGCAAAAGTTTACGAGTGCATAAACCTCAAAGAACCATTCCTCGGTATTTTTATAAGCCCCGCATTTAAAGCTTCTATAAATTCTTCTGCCTGCTTCCAAAACTCAAGTTCCCCTAGACTGTTAAACAGCCACTTCTTCGGGAAGGGGAGGGGGAGAAAGATCACAACGGGAGGGTCCAGGTGGGGCGAGAGGGGCTTTCTTTTTTTGGCATTTTGTCAGGATCCTCCACTTTCCTCTCCCTGCCACCCGCCCCCTCCGAGCTAGAGTTTGGAAGAAAGTTGGCGTCATTAAATCACGGCAAGTCACACATGGGCGCATCGGCAAGATGACTGGGATACCCCGAACAGGGGTACCCCCCAAAAACAGGGGGGACAAACCCAGAAAGAAAGGGAAATGGTGAGGAGATGATATAAATAAATAAAAAGCGAGGTGGGTGCATGGACGGGGAGAAGCACAGACCCACAGAGAGATCAACAACGGGCAGGCTTGGGAGGGGTGGACAGGGATGAGAAGAACAGCTCATCTTAGACGAAAAGAGAGAAAATTCAGAAGCAGTCGAGGTCAAGAGGAGGTGGCCGTGACCTCCTGGAGGTCGCCGCGATGTCCCCGTTCCTCCGCCCCGACGGCGCGGCCCGGCCCGGCAACACCGGCCACCCCTTGGGCCGCAGCCTCGGGGAGCGGGAGCCTTCTCCCTCCCCAAAATTGCAGGCAAAAAGACGAAGGGGTGGGGGTAGCACCAGGGAACCCACGGATCAGAGGGAGAGATCGAGCCGGAGACCTCCGCCTTCGAAGAAATAAGATGCGAGGGATGAAACGTTCCCCCCAACCATCAAATTGTAGTGACAGCATCCGTCATCCCTAAGTGACCACAGGAGTTTTGCAAGTCGGATATTAAACAGAATAAATAAAATTTAAAAAAAAAAAAAAGGAAAAGGAAAAGGAAAAGGAAAAGGAAAAGAAAAAGAAAAAGAAAAAGAAAAAGAAAAAGAAAAAGAAAAAGAGGGAGAGATCGAGCCGGAGACCTCCGCCTTCGAAGAAATAAGATGCGAGGGATGAAACGTTCCCCCCAACCATCAAATTGTAGTGACAGCATCCGTCATCCCTAAGTGACCACAGGAGTTTTGCAAGTTGGATATTAAACAGATTAAATAAAATTTAAAAAAAAAAGGAAAAGGAAAAGGAAAAGGAAAAGGAAAAGAAAAAGAAAAAGAAAAAGAAAAAGAAAAAGAAAAAGAAAAAGAAAGAAAAAGAAAAGGAAAAAGAAGAAAAAGAGAAAAAAAACAACCACAAAACCCCTATAGCGTTTATAAAGCCCTTTGTTTCGCATCCCCGGGACAATGAAGTTGCTAATTGGAAAACAATAAACCTAAGATGCCTTTGGATTAATAATGATAGAGGTTAACGGTGGCATCCCTCGGAAAGGGGGGAGGGAGCGAGGCGCTGGGTGACTGTGCGCTTGGACGGCGACCAGGGACAAGCGCAGCAGCCAAATGGGGCTGG